GGCTACTTGTTAGTATTCAACCCAAAAGATATTTTGAGTATTAAAAAGATTATTCTATGAACTGCTTTCATCCTGTTAGCTAAAATGTACCTTATAAATTGTGATTTTTACTATCAAAGAATATAAATAATATATACTTTATTTCTCTTCTTAAGGGTCATGCAGAATTTCTCAATCAGATAGATTCCTAAATGTGATGAAAATTGTTATGAATCTCCAAAAATTTCCAAAGTAACCTAACATAGTAGATGTGCTCAATCTGTATTTAATTCTATTTTGCTAGGACTGGTTTGCAATGCGTTTTCCTTATAGCTATGATTTTGTTTTCAAAATTTGTGTGATCATCTCAACTGCTTGGAGTACTTGCTCTGATCTGAATGTTTTGTCTTTCAGAAGGTTGTGTTTTGAACTGTTACCTTCCATCACGCTAGTGTGAGGAGGTAGGGACTTTGGTTACCGAGACGGAGCCCTTTTGGAGTAGGAATTGTTCCCTTGTGAAAGAGGTCGAAGAAAGGTCCTTTGCCCCTCCATCATGTGAGGATACGGCAAGCAGTTGCTGATTTTCTACTTGTCACTAGAACTTGGCTACATGAGCACCTGGAAGACTTCATGCTGGTCTCTAGATCTCTGAAAAATACATTTCTCTTGTTTATAAGCCACCAAATCTATCGTGATTTATTACAGCTGAAAGAACAGACTTGCTAAATATATACATTCAATACTTACTAGAGATGCACATTCCTGAACTGTCCTAGGAAATTTTGGTTCAGAAGATTCATTGTGGGACTTGGAAACCTTTTAACAAGGCTTTCAGGAGATTATTAAAACCAAGCAATATCACTTTAAGCAATGGTTCTCAACCTTAAATACTTAGCTTAAAGTTAAAAAAAAAAATCCTGTTCCCTGAGTCCCACCTCAAACTAACTTAATTAAGACTTCTCATAGCAGGGGCCACTGCTACGGCTTGTATCTAGATGCAGCCCAAAACCTCATGCGGTCATAGGTGAGACTTTTTCAGAGGTGGCTGGATCTAGAATGTGTGATGCTGGGATTGATTCAGGGTGCAACGCTTGGATGAAGGGTGTGAGTGCTCCTCATCCTAAATAGCCTGGATAAGATACAAATAAGAGAAAGAGGCTTCTCTAGCACTAGAAAGAGGCTTGTCACTTGCCTCTTGCCTGCTGTTGCTCTCTTCTGCCTGCCATGAAATGTTTCTCCTCTGCAATGCCTCCTGGCCATTCACCCTGCCTTGGAGCCACCTGATTATGGACTCAAACCTGTAGAAACTGTGAGCTAAATAAAGCTTTCCTCCTTTAGCTGTGGGTGTCCAGTATTGTGTCCCAGCAATGAGAAAAGTAACTAAGACATCTGCCCAAGCAGAAGGATATATATTATAAGGAATTCTCAGGTAGCTTTAGTGTATATCTAGGATTGTGGGTCACTGTTCTCAAACAATCCTCAGGTGAATATTAAAACAGCTTCTGGAAAAATACTGTAAGATAAACATTTTTACCCAATGTTTCCCTAAAATAAAAGATATTAGATTTAAGTAAATATAAAATCAGAACATTTCAGTATGGGGTAGATATCATATAGGGTCAATTTGAGTACCAGATATTCAAAATTTCTGGGATGGAATTAGTTCTGCTTCAGACATTTTCCAGAATGTTACCAACATTTTATTTGGGCCTTTAATTGTGTATAATTCATTCTGGTAACCCTGTAGCAACAGACTGTGATATGCAGATTGGATGCAAATTATTAGGTGAAGTAAGTAAGGATATGTGAAACAAGATTTGAGGTTAGTTGTAGTAGAATTTAAAATGATGGCCATGAACAGACTTAATTGTGTACTTATATATGTATCTTTTTGCTTTCAGAAAAGGATCTGCACAGGTGTATTTACCTAGATAGTTTCAGTGTGGTGACTTGTAATCGTACACCTAAGATTTTGGAAAATGTTGAGCCAGGTTCTGATCTGGATAATGGCACAAAGATGTAGGAAGATTATTATAGTTCCTGGTTTCAGGGAGTTTAGCTTTATTTTTTCAATGAAGAATATAGTAGAAGAAGATCCAATACCAGATGGTAATGTTGGCTAGGAGTGTTCTTCTCACCTATATTTGGCAGCCTAAGTCGGAAGTGGTGCTTTGAATGCCTGAGACTTCCAGTCTGTACCACTCAACGTGATCATCAGGAAACTTTAGGAGGTATAGATGCAATGACACATCTCATTAAGGGTCTCGCAGCTATAAGCATCTGACATCTGTGCCGAAAACAGGAGTGAACACATCCTGCAGTGGTTGTAGATTCACATGGTATGCTGTCTTATAAAGGAGCGAATGAAAAAATCATATTTTTTAGGCTTGTAATTTCTGGGGAATTTTTGATGTGGAGAAATAGATTGCATTAATGGAGTGCCCATATTAAAGATGGCTTATCATTAAATGGGTTTCCTCTGTCTCAACATTAGGATAATGATTTTAGCAGATGACCCGTTCATCATTTAACAATAATAATAGCTATCATAATTTGAGCACCTATGATGCATTATGATTCTTTATGTATGAGCAACAAACAGCCCTCTGCAGTGTTCCCATTTTGTGCTTGAGGGACCCAGGGCTCTGAGAGGTTAAGGAACTTGCTGGAGGCCATTAAACTCCTAAGTGACCTTGTTTGGTTCCTCTCTGGCTGCCCACAGGGGTCTCTGTCCATCCTGCTGCCAACCCCAGCACCGTGTTCTGGAACAGACTTAGCATACATTTTTATAAGCTGCAATAAGTCGATATTCATAATAATTTTCCTTTTGTCTCATATTTCAAATGAAGGGAGGAAAAAAACACTAAAACAACTACTGATAGATTCAGATTTTAAGGAGCTTACTGTCCAAATAGTCTTTTACCTTGTTAAAGAATAACACTCTGATTCTTCATATACATTTCAAGATGCTTTAACTTTAGGTTTTTAAAACACTGCAAGCTGCAGACATTCATTTTCACCCCACTCTCCATCCTCCTTCCCAAAGCCCTGAAGCACAAACCCACTGGGAGTCCCCTCTGCTTCCCAAAGGAAATATTTCATTCATATAATGTCTCCTTTGTAATCAACACTGAGAAATGTCACTTTGATTAAACACAACTCTGAATGACTAAGACCACAGTACAATAAATTCTCCAGAGCTATCTTTCAGAACAACAGATTGCTCTCCGGTCTTAATCCTCCAGAGTCTTATTTAATCAAAATGATGTTGCTAATTAAGGATTAAAACCTCCGAATAGAATAAAAAAGAAGGATTTTTCTTTCTCCTTTGGGCAGGTCAAGGAGGCAGAATTTGCTATAAGGAAGTAGGGTCCCTTTCACCCTTGGTAAATTGCATTGTTTTGCACATTAGGACTTAATCCAAAATAGGTCTGAGTGATTTATAATTTTAATATATTGAGAGAGAGAGAGAGAGAAAGACAGGGAGAGAACTTGGATAGCTACATGTGCCTAGATAACATTTACTCAAAATCTTTTTTCATTTAATACTATTAAAATAAATTTTCTTTAAATATTTTGTTTGGTGATACTTTTATTCATTGCCAACACAAATGAAAAGATAGAAAAAAATGTTGACAACCTATTTCACAAAAATACAGGAAATAAAAGTCTTAATACATCTGTGTCAGTCAGCTTTCCACATCTGAGATGAAATACCTGAAATAATCAGTTCAAGAGGATGGCAGTTTTATTTTACTTCATGCTTGCAGAACTTTCAGTTCAGGGTCAATTGGCTCACTGTTTTGGGGCTGTGGCAAAACATCATGGTGGGGAGCAAGTGGGACAGCAAAGATGCCCACCTCATGGTAGTTGAGAAGTAAACAAGAGTGAGGGGAAGGGACCAGCGTCCCTATAGCCCCTTCAAGGCCACACCCCCAATGATCTAACTTCCTCCCACTAGGCCACACCTCCTAAAGGTTCTTCTGCCTCACAACAGTACCATAAGCTGGAGACAAGCCTTCAGCACATAGACTTCTGGAGAATATTCAGATCCAAACTATAGCAGTATCTCACATCTATTTGATGATCACTGATGAATAACAAAAGCCAAAGAGAAATTCTGTACTAAATTCTGAACTTCTTTTCCTTTAGAACTAAATCTCATTTCTTTCTTGAATTTCTTTTTTTTTTGTTTGTTTTTTTTTCAGGTACTGGGAATCAAACTCACAACCTTGCGCTAGCCAGGCAGGCGCTGTACCGCTAAGCTAAATCCCCAGCCCCTCTTTCTTGAATTTCTTTTACTAAAAAGAAATTCATTTCTTCAAAAATATATAAACTTATAAACTGTAAGAAATCATTTGAAGAGACAAAGATTCACAAAGATAATTCTGTTTTCATGAAAAAATTTTTAGGTGTTTGAGGAAAAGTGGGTGGGAAACAGAGGTACTGGTTGATGTTCAACAAATTATAAAATACTCTTGCAAATTTCTCAGCCCTTCTTTGCACTGACTTTATAATACCTGCTAAATTATTTTACTATAATGCAGACATAACTAATAGTAATTGTTACTATTTTTGATCATCGATGTGCCAAATTCTCTGCTAGCAGTATACATTTATTGTTTCTGCTAAACCTTTCAGAAATAAACAAATATTGGAAAAGGATAGGTGACTTGTTAAGGGCATTCTGCCTGTATTAAGTACAGTTGAGATTTCCACCCAGGACCGTTTGACTCCAAAGACATTTTCTATTCAATATAATAAATCATTTTATATCTTTTTACTTGGATAAATTTATCACTGTGTCTCAGGAAGATGCTGATAAGCTGCATTGGTTTGTATCTGACCCCTCAGTTCCTATGACCATTGATTGAATCACCATCACACCACTGCAGACCCATCCCAACCAACAACAAAGACTATGACTGCTATTAAAATGAACCAGAAACCAAACAATGAGAAAAGCCAAAATGGAGAGAAGTGTCATAAATCTGTGTTCTTTCTTAATCAGCACTACCTACCAGTTAAAAAAGGACATTTGCTTCTGTGAGCCACATTCCTGGAGGCCATAAGCACCCAGTGGACAAACAATGGCTCTGATTCCTCCTGTGCCCAGGGAGATGGTCAGCAGTGCCACATGAAACAGCCTGTTCTGCTCCTCTGTTGGTAGGTTGTTTACCACATGGTAAGGGCCTAGGTAGAAATCTTCCATGGGAAAAGCAACTACGGACAATAAAGCAGTGCCTGTAGGTACGAAGAAAAGGAGAATACATCTAGCATAAACTCATGGCATCACCAACTCACATCATAAAAGTTTTTCCTTTGATAGTAGCATTATTATATTATTGTCTTATAAACGTATTTGCATTAACCATTGCAATTGTGAGAATAGCCTGAAATTTTTTTTGTTTTGTTTTGTTTTTTTGAGACAGGGTCTCACTATGCAGTTCAGGCTGGCCTTGAGCCCACTCTGTAGCCCAGGCTGGTCTTGAACTTGCAATGATCCTCCTGCCTCAGCCTCCTGAGTGCTGGGATTACAGGTGTGCGCCACCACATCCAGCCTAGCCTGATTTTTCTAAGTATGGATTTTTTTCATGATGTATCTCAATGAATTCAGAGTTCTTATGTTCCTCTTCTCTTGCCTGAAGCTTGAATTATCTTTTCTTTCAGAATGTGTAAGCAAATTATGTCCATTTGAACAAAACTGAAACAATGAAGACATGCATTGTATAAAATTCTAAGATAGGTCTATCATCCCCAAACCTACCCTGGAAGAGAAAATCACTGTCAGCATTGTTATTTGTTCTTAGTACAGTGATAGAAAACATGACGATCTCAAATATCTCAGAAGCCTGTCAAAGTTTTCAGAAAGAACAGCACGATAAAGGAAAGCACAACTTGTTTTTTCCATTTCTACTTTTCTCTCTCCTTCAGTTCCTTTCTTAGGATGGAGCCTTTCCTGTGCACACAGAAGCAAGAAGGCTGGGACAAAGGGTATGGCCTATGTTTCTCAGTGCCTACTGGAAGAAAGTACTTAAAAGTAGCAAGGGATGGATGAACATCCTTCTTACATCCACCTGCCAGAGACCCCACCAGATGATTTCCTTGTCTGACAAGAAACTAGTAATACAACCTCATGTAACTTGCCAAGTCTTTATGATTTGCAAAGCACCTTCACATACTTTATTGTTTCTGCTTGGAAGAACTTTGCAATGTCAAAGGATAGACTTTTTTTATTCTAATTTGTCCAAAAAATAAATAAACATTCAGTGAGGTTAAGTGATTTTCCCAATGTGACAGAGCACCTGAGATATAATCTCCCTCCTCTTGGCCTTTCTACCCTCCAAAGGTCAAACCATCAAAAAGTTTTGAAATAGCCTTTTCCCCAACTATTATAAAGGTAATAATACTACCAAAAATTATAAAAATATAGAAAAGCATACTAAGTAATAAAAATGCATATAATGTCATGATCCTGAAATAAACTTCACCATTAATTATACTGTTACAGATAGACTTTATTTAAATAACAGAAAGAGATTACCCTGTTAGTATTTTCAACATAACCAACTAATAAGAACAGTTTTTAATACTCCCATTCTATTCTTTTCAACATGATTTCTCATGATGATGCAGGATTCTGTTATTTGTTTTAAAGTCCCTCTTCAATTACTGTGAATGAATATTGCAAAAATATTCCAACACATTAATTTTGCCCACATGTTTGATTATTTCCTTAGCCTAAGCTCTTGTTTAGAGATATTCATAATTGTATGTCTTTTTTAGTGACTGATGAATACTCCTCAAAAATGTAGCAATTTAATCTCCTACTATCAGTGTATGAGATGGCTTTCATGATGTTATGATCAATTGTTTTTGATTTGTCAATTTGATTAGTAAAAAAAGGTCTTCTCTATGTTGGCTTTGTCTTTTAATTTATTAACTTGACATCAATATCCTTTGAAATGAATTTTTTCTTTTTTGGTCTTTTTGAGACAGGGTCTCTCTATGCAGTTCAAGCTGGCCTTGAGCTCACTTTGTAGCCAGGCTGGTCTCAAACCTCCAACCATCCTCCTGCCTCAGCTTCCCAATGACAGTTGTTTTATGGGGTTAGTCTTCTCCAATAGACTATAAGTTCCTTCTAGATAAAAATGAGGTCTAATAGTTACTCTTTTCTGCAGTAGCTTTTATAATGTGAGAAATATACATGTGCCAGCAACTGATTTACCTTGAGGACTGACCAGTAAAGGTGGAATTAACCATTTGCCCTTTACTATTCAATCCAAAAGTGTGATGTGAGGCCTGGCAAGGCAAAGAGTTATGCAAACAGAATTGTCAGAGAAATTAATTTGTGCAGCAACCATTTAAGGACACAACATTTTAGTTAGTGTGGTTCCTTTGCATAATTAAGGAAGGCACTTTGCTTCTATCTTTTGAGAAAATGTCATAACGTATTGATTTTGTTAGGTTAAAATTTTACACCTGTGGTAAAATTGATGTAATAATAAAAACACAAACCTCTGACATATAGGATAAAGTCTCTTTGTTTTGTGCTTGTGTCCTACATAATTAGCGTGCCTGTATTTGGGAGCTGTCTATAAGGTATCATGTTATGTCATATCCCACATCATGTGGTGGGACGCTGGTTCTTCTTCTCCAGGAACAATGAATCTATCACAGAAGTCGGTCATGATGGACAATTATATTAAAATGGTAAATGCGATCACATAGGTGTGATCACCATGTGGTTACACACAGGAAAGCTAGCAGCAAACACTACATGGTCTTGAAAGGATGGCAGGACTTTTTAAATCTTGGATATAGGTTGAAAAGACAAGGGAAGGTGACAATTTCAGGCAGAAAAAATATGGCATAAGATTAGAAAAGGAGGGAAGTACTGAGGAGAAGTTCATCGAGGTGGAGTTACATACTCAGAAGTCTGGAAAGGCAATATGTTATGGGTTTAAAGGTTCTTGCATACTAAATCAATAAACGAGTTTTATGTTTTAGATAACAAGGTCAATATATAGATTTCTTTTCATAGAAAGTTAATGTTGTCGGTAGAATAATGGACCACAGGCAATCTGACAGTTGTCCAACCACAGGCAGAACACAGGCAGTCTGACAGCCCAGAACATAGCTCATGGTCCAGAAGAAGAAATTTGCACTTTTGAGCTGAGTTTATAATAATTCAGATAGAAGACACAAATCAGACAGAACCTCTGAAGTTCAGTGGCAAGTTAGAATTTGATAACAGCTGTGAGCGGGATATAAAGCAGTAACTTGTATTACTGAAATGAATGGGTATAAAGTTGACTTCAGTTTTTGTTTTGCCAAGTTCCAAAGTTAAGATTTCTGCCCTGGTCTGGTGATCCAACCTGGAATGTAGATTGATAGGAATTATGATGTTAAATAAGAAGTTAGCTAATGTTACTGGTGTGGCCTGTTACCAAGTCAGGGAGAATAAATTATTCATGTCTTTGCTCAAATGCGTCCTTATCAGAAAGCATTCCCTGATAGAAAACAGCAATCTTGTCACTGTCCATTCCATTCTATTCCCTTACCTAGCTCTATTTTTCATCATAATGCTTATTACCACCTGGCATAATATCTATTTACTCATTTATTTTCTCTCTCCTGTCATCTGAAAGTCAAATTCAGCAGGAACAAACTATTGTTTCATGGGTTGCATACCAAGACCTCAGAGCAAAGCCTGGCAGAGTGAAATCAATGAATAAAGAACAAAATAAAGCATAGTTAATGAGACATAGGGAGATAGAACTTTCTTAAAAGGGAAGGGGATCAAGAGGTGGACAAAGAGGTGGGAGAGAAGGGAAAATGGATAGAAAAGAAGGAATTAAGATGTGTTATGTGATGTACCAATTCCACACAAGGAATGTAAATATTATGCACTGCAAGCATATGCTGCTAAAAAAAGAAACACCTGCTGAATGTTGAATGAATATTTGCCATGCGACAACTCTGTTTTTCCTTAAGACAGAGTCTCACTGTGTAGTTCAGGCTGGCCTTGAACTCAATGTCTGTCCCAGACTGCCCTTAAACACTCAGCAATCCTCCTGCTTCAGACTCCTGACTGCTAGGATTAAAGGCATGCACCACCACACCCAGCTCAGCAATTCAGTTTATTTCACAAACTTAAACAGTGTGAATCATAGGCTTATCAGTTTTCTAATTTACTACTGCCTGAAATCTTGTGCTATGGAGATCACCCCACATCTGTCCACCTCTTTCTCACCTGCCTCCCTACCGGCATACACTTAAGCTCCATTTCTCACCCCAAGTGAACAGCATACTACCTTCCCAAGATCCTCTGCTCAGAACCCTAGAGGTAACTTTGGCTCTGCCATTGTATTTATGCCTTTATTTAGTTGCCAGCCTTTTATATTTTTCCATGTTCTCTCCTGAGTTGGTACTTCTTTATTACTTAGACTATCCTCCTGAGGCTTGTCTGGTCTCTATTTAGCCTCTTACAGTGGGTTTTCATTTTGTTTGTAGAAGAAAACCATTTTGTGGATGTTATTTCATCATACACCTTCAGTGACTTCTCATCTGTGATAAATAACTTGAATGTTTCAGCTTAAATTTCTAGATTATTAATTCAACTTCCTCTCTATCCCTTATCAGACTATCTTGATTTTTCCCCAACATTTTGCACAATCATTTTCCTCCCAAACTTTTCAGTTATATTTATTTTTCTCTGGGTAGAGAAGCAGTGTAGTGTCTGAATTCACTAATTTTTAAAAACATGCAATCACAGTTTAAAAATATAGAAGTCTTGTCTATATGGCACCTTAATTGCTATGTGACTAATTAGAAGACCAGGTTTTGATAAAAAATATTTCCTAGTTATTCTGCATGAACTTTAAAAACCTTTTTAGCACATTCTATCTTAATTGTGAAGCAAATGAATTTCATGTTGCACATAGAATGTGTCACAAGTTTGGTTTGGGGGAAAAACAAAAGCATAGGCATCAAGAAATAATCACTGTAAAATATAATACATGCAATGATATAGATATCAAAGCATCCTTAACAGACACATGCACACACATATTAACATCCTAGATAAAATATGGAATGAAATAATATTCTTACTGTATTTATAACATTTTATGCTAAGAACAGGAATGGGAATAACATAATCTAAAAATTCTAACAGAAATCTACTCAATTAAGTTACAAAACAATCTAGTCAGCAGGAAACTCACCTAGGAAATGTAGAAATAAACCAACACACACCAGCTTGTTTCTTCCTAGGTAGACATCAGCAAGCCATCCCACAAACACAGGGGTAAGTATTGAAGTTCCAATAAAGCACAAATTCAGAATGGCTGCTTGGTAATTACTATAGCCAAGCTTCACAGTGCAAAAGGGAATCATGTTGCAGACGACTTCAAAGAAAGTGAATCTCTCACATAGCTCCACCAGCAGCAAGCAGATCCCAGCCTGAATTTTTGTCATAGAATATGGCGGCAAAAGATAATCACTATACTTTATTGTTTTCTCCTTCTCAATACTGGGCTTCAAGGCTATGTTCTCATCAGTTATTGTAAAGTCTGTAACAGACATGACCACCTTCCTTGAATACAGCTTACATTAATAGTTTGGACTTGGTGGTTTTTTATCCCCATTCCTCTAATGACAAAATAAGTGAGACTGGTGCTTTGAATTTCACATCTCCATGCTAAAATTTCTGAAGGTTTTTTACACATTAATGTCATTCATTTGGATGGTGCAGAAGCACAGGAGAGGCATGTGTATTTGAAAATTAGGGTAGCCAAATCTGATTTGTTTGTTTAATTATTTAGAGACTAAATTAGGCTCGTCCTCTAAAATTATATTGAATTACATGAATCCAGTTCTATCTGTGTGGAAACTCACCTGCCTCACACTAATAAAGGTTTAAATACTGAGGCAGAGGAAGCAGTTTTTTCAGGAGAATTTGAGTGCTAGATCAAGAAATAATTTGAGTGTAATAATTTCTGATATTTTAATTAAACAAGCCAGAACAGTACCAGGAGATAAAGCATGAAAGAAAATCTGTTTTGAGGGGGCAGGACACCATATCATTATTACATTTCTTGTTATTTTTTTTGTTGGAATTCTGATAAGAAAGTTAATTAGATAACAAAAGTGCTAGTACATTTAGGTAGCAAGCGAGTTTACAAGAAACCAATTTAAGCACACTAATGAAAGGAGAAAGTATTATACAAAACCCCACTTCCTTTAAGTTGACCCCATGCTTGTAGACCAGCCTCTGAGAAGAAATCAGAATCAAAAGGCTCCATTTAATTTGCTTACTATTAATCAGCAGGTAGGGATACAGCAAGCAGCCTACACATATTTTGGGGAATATTGGGTCTAGAATCGCTCTGACTGTCCAGCTGGGTGACTGGATGCTGGGTTCGATTTTGCAAAGCAGGAGAGTAGCAATTACGATGAAAAAAAAAACAGTAGTGAAAGAGTACACCTTACTATTTAGGGGTTTAGCTGCAAGGAATAGAAGCATTGGGTCACAGTCATAATAATTCTTCATGACAGTAAAATGTTATTTTCATGTTGATGCCCAAACCAACAGACTGCTAAAGGGTCTAGACCCTGATTCTTATCTTTTGCCCTGAAAAACTGGAACCAAAATATTTTGTCTTGACCCCTTCTAATAGTCATTGTACCAGAAGCTATTTGCATCTGCTCAGTGTCCCTTATTCACTCTTTGGCAATGATATCCTATTTTTCCTTTATGTGGAGAGTTATATAACTAATTATGCAAAGCTAGACACTCTTGTGAGTAAAAGAAATCATGTTAATTATAGTTATTCCTGACAAATGGATATAAACTAGGTCTATCCAAAGCACACTCCAACGTTAGGTCACCCTACCTCTGAGGAATGACTCCCAGCTATTGCAAGGACATTGACATATGACCTTTGCTTTTCTCCTTTGCAGTTTTAACCATGTGTGGGATGATTCTAGAATGCACCTGTTGGAAGCTTAGTCCCTAAGGTAGCAGCACTCAGAAGGTGTGGCCCAGGCACTGCCATGGAGAGCTCAGGGCCTGTCCTCTTCTCACCATTCAGCAGTCAGGATCTGTTGGGTCTTCTGTAAAAAATTCAAATCACTGCAATCAATCTGCGCTTTGATTAATTCAGCCACAATTGATTTGTGTGGCTTTCAAAGCCCTATGTGATACTTGGCTTTTTGTGTGGCCCAGATACAAGGGGCTTCTCACCAGCTGAGGCAGGCAGTTTAGACAAAGTGCTCCTGCAGTCTCATTTCCCAAGCAGGGCAGGTATGCCTCTCCCATGGTCTGAAGAGGAGGAGAAGAAGGTTTGAATGCTTTGGCTTCTCTAAGTACTCTTGCCCGCAGAACAGGCTATACATGGTAGGAGCCTATGGCCTGGAGCAGTTGAGCCAGGGAGAGCAACAGCACTTACCTGGTTTGATACAGCTAAGTCTTAAGAGAGTCACATACTTGCAAATAAAGTTTGAGTTATCCACATCAGAGAAAACAAATATGACAAATATGACAATAGTGTAATAAAAGAACAAAATAATAAGCAAAAGCCATCCACTGAATTGGGAGCAGGCTAACTGAATGATAACCCTGCCCCTTTGCTGCTTATCACAAACTCTTTTTGTCTATGAATCCATTGTATCAACCACAAACCACAAACAGGAAAGCTCGTACCAGAAGATCACTTGTGAGTCTTAGTTTAGAAAATAACTGATAAAATCTTAAGGATGTACATGGGAGTTTTTGTTATTAATTGTTCCTGTGCTGTATTCTCCAGCTACTTTAAGCAGTGAGTCATAGAGAAATATCATGAAACCATCTCCAAATTCTATCACAAATGAGAGAGGTTAGGAGAGTTGAATTATGCAGAACAGACTTTGAGCAATAGGTGAACACATTCTTTGTCTCTTCTCTACCAATTCTCAATGCTATGCTCAGAGCTCAAAGAAACAAATGCCAACCCCATTCAAGGACAGCTCTTGGCAGGGAATATTCAGTGTCATAATCATTATCAACAAAATTAAGTCCTTGAATGAGGACTTTATGCATTCTTTAATTTTATGCAGCTTCTCCCCAACCCCGATTGCAAGCTGGTTCTATGCTCCCTGTCCGCTTTTCTGCAATGAAGTAATATTTTTCTCTCTTATAAAAGCAACGCACACAATATATATACATTGGACACAATTTGAAAAGTATCTAAAAATACAAGAAAGGACAAATAATGAAAATTTCTGAATTTGTGTTGGTACCCCAGAACATTAAAACGAATTCTGAAAGTAGTCTCATGCCTATTTTCATTAGTAGATTTTCAATGTTTAACTTGTGCAATAGTGTGTAATTATTGTATACCAGGTTTTCTTTTCTGTAGATACTGTTAACAAGCATTTCAACATGCTTTATGAACTTTTTGCAAGTGTAATTTTTATGGTTGCTTTGATAGATACAGCTGTATTGTATAAAAGTATTTCAGTCACCAATGGAGGGTGTGTACAACAGAGGTCCTCCAGGATTATATCACCTAAAGATGCCATAGCCTTGTTGATCTTGGATCTGCTAATAACCACATACGACTATGCCTCTTTTACTTGAATACTCTCCTGTCATTATTTTTTTATATCTCAGATCAATTATAAACCAATTTTTCTCTAACTTTTGACTGTGAACTCACAATTAAAAGGAAATTCATCTGTAACGTGGAAATGTGTGCACAGAAAATTTCCCCTGGGTCCCAGGTGTTATGGTTGATACATTGTGTCAACATAAGAAGTCTAGAAGCTTAACTGAGTAGCTCAGCAGTTCTACATCCTAGTGTGTAGAGGACACGCCCTTACTGCTGTAGAATGTTGTTCATTGTGTTAACTTTCTCAGTTTAGAAGTTTGTGACTCCGCAGGGGGCCAGGGTTCTCACTTTGTAAACATCCTGAGCCTGTGCAAGAGGAGCGCACGGAAATTGTGAGTGCTATACCCACCGAGGGTGGGTAGTCTACATACAATATAAGGGAGGAAAAGAGGCTTGTTTCCCCACCCCTTTTGCTCTTGCTGCTTTTGCTGTCTTCTGCCCCCTAAGGTATTGTCCCTGTGTCATGCCATCCTGCCTTGGAGCCTGCTGATTATGGACTGAAACTTCTACAAACTGTGAACCAAATAAATCCTTTCTTCCTTAATTTTGGGCTTCGGTTACTTTGTCTCAGCAACAAGAGGCAAGTAACCAAGACACCAGGTTATAACCTTAGGCTATTTTTTTTTTTTTTTCTTCCAGCAGCAACACTACTGACTAAGATTGTGGGAAAAAGCCAAGTGTGATGATGCATGCCTGGATTCTCAGCATTGAGACAGGAGGATTGTGAGTTCAAGACCAGCCTGGGGTACATCGGGAGACATTATCTAAAAAGTCAAAACAGACATGTAAGAGGGGTTTTAGGCCTTTTCATAAATAATGTCTAATTACAATACATACTTGAGGAATATTTCACTAGAATTCTTCATTAGATAAATTTACAAGTCAAACATATGTGGTAATAAATGTTGATCATATTTGTATGTATTAAGAAACATTTCTTATTTAATAGAAAAAAATAGTAAGAGGCACATTGGATGAGCTAATGATCATCCATGTTGTTTACTTATGACCACTCAGAACATTTATGAATTGGTAAATAAGGATTGTTTGGGGAACATGGCAGCAATAAAAGCCCTATTTTCTGGAGGCTATTTTTAAATAGCAGCATTTAAAAGCCAAGATGATAATAAATTTGGAAAAGCAAAAAAAAAAAAAAAAAAATTAGTGTGTTTCTGCAACACTTTAAAATTTGTACATGTATTTTCCAAACAACTTTTCAGTGTTTCTCTAAGCATTTAATAAGCACTTTTAAGAGAAAAGTTTTGTTAAGGATAGAACTCTTTTCTAGTTCAATAATTCTCTGTAAATAGTATACATAAAGGTCAGTTGAAGACATTTGTTCTTTCAAACCTACTGATTCCATTTAATTCCATTGACAGGTTTGGTATCTGACTTGAAGACTTTGTCAAGGACATAAGGGCTGGTGTCACTATAATTTAATTATTAAAAATAGTAGTGAGATTGTCTTAATGAAATATTGTAGTGAAATATTTTGCTGCATTGTTCACAGTGTGAAGTGGAAATGTAAAGATACATTTTGGGTATTTCTTAACTAAAACATTTTCCCAGATTTTATTAAGACTAAACTTTCACATTAAATAAGGTCAATGAACTCCAACTGGATTAGTTATAAAGTTGAAACCATGCAAAACCAATTGCTGTATTGTTTATAAATGTATATGTAGATAAGCATATACATACAGTAACTATTATGTATATAACAATGTATACATATATACGCATATACATATATGTGATAAAAGTTGTAAATAGCGAAGGCAAAATTTTTTGGGGGGGTACTGGGAATAGAACTCAGGACCTTTTGCTTGCCAGGCAGGCTCTGTGCTGCTGAGCTATACACTCAGCCTTGCACAGCAAGATTAACCAAAATTCAAGATACAGTACTGGTTACCTTTGGGAACAAGGAAAGGGAAC